TAGAAGAGCCTCACTAGATTCTCGTTGTAGTCCTCCGGTCGTTTGGCCAAGTACTTCCATTGTCGACGATCAAAGTTTTCGAAGATCGAATCTTTTGGCATGCCATCGAGATCTAATTCCCTTTCTGGAACAAACGGTCGGCTATGGCGACGTATGAATTCCCTTTTGGCCTCGACGTTCACGTACAAAAACTCATCTCCCGGTTCGAGGACTACGCGGTCAAGGATGGTGTGTTGATTCGCACGGGATCCCATCTCAAGTTGCACGTTTCCCGTGCGTGGGGTTTGTTGCTCTTCCGGCACCTGAGATGGTGGTGGTGCGCTCGAAGTGCCCTCTTGGCTTCCCGTGCCTCGAGAAGCTGCCTTTTTCTTCGGTGCGGCTTTTCCCTTTGCCGGAGCCTTCTCCTTGGGTTGGGCTTTTTTTGTGGTTTCGCCCGTCTTTAAGAGTTTCTTGGCCGGCGACGTCATTTCGTTCGACTTTGTGCGAGATGGAGGGTCGAAAGCCTTTGGAAGTTGGTTCGGGAATTTTGTCGAACACTTGGCGTGCCCAACTTGGTAATCCTTTTGATTTCCACCGGTTGTTTGGTACCTATCCCTCCTACATCAATCACAACACCCAAGTGAGAATCCACCACCACAATCAACAATAGGTAGCTAAACAATCAACCCAAGTAATTCAAATCTTTATTTTATCCTTTATTTCGAAATTAAGAACAATAGGGCAATTCCTATATCTAAACATTGGTTCACCCGCAAATTCATGTTTTGAATCCCAACACCAAGTACAAATTCACGGACAAGCATACACAATTAACAAACAAGGGGAAAAAACATGAAATTTTGGTGAAATTCGAAAAAAAATTGAAGAAAATAAAAGAAATGAGGATTAGATTGAAAATTTACCTTTTCTTGAAGATTCACCCACAAATTCTTGGAATAAATGTGCAAATCGTGAATTTGTGATGATCAAGTGTGTGATTGATGTGCTTTTTATGAAAGAAATTGAAGATTTTGAAGTTGGGGAGGGGTTAGGGTTTGGAATTTAGAAAAGGGGGAATGAGGAAATGAAAGGGGATTTGTGAATTTGAACTGTTTTTCGTCCCCAGATCGCGATCCACAATACCCGGATCGCGATCTGGGTCTCACCTTGCAGCTTCTGGAAAAAGGCCCCAGATCGCGATCCGGCGTTCCTGGATCGCGATCTGGTCCTTAAAATTTCAGCTTCTGGAAAAACGTCCCAGATCGCGATCCGACATACCTGGATCGCGATCCGGGCCCAAAATCCGCCGCTTCTGGAAAAACGTCCCAGATCGCGATCCGACATACCTGGATCGCGATCCGGGCCCAAAACTGGCTGCTACTGGAAAAACACCCCAGATCGCGATCCGACTTACCTGGATCGCGATCCGGGACACCTAAAACCTGGCAAAACGAAAATTTAAATGGGTGAGATAGAGGTGTTGAACCCTAAATTATAAAGATGCACGAAAAAGGCTAAAAAAAATTAAAAACGAAAACAAGAAAAAAGGAAAATGACAGAATATGAGCAACAATGGGTTGCCTCCCATTTAGCGCCTGTTTTACAGTCGACGGCTCGACTTCTTTTGGATTTATTGGGAGAAAATTAGTGCGACACGCTCCACTTCCTCGGGAGCACCATTCGGGTAGTAATGCTTAACTCGTTGCCCATTCACTTTGAACGACGGACCGTCTCGTCCTCGTATTTCGATAACTCCTTGTGGGGTTGCGCTTAGGACTACGAATGGTCCCGACCAACGGGACTTGAGCTTTCCCGGAAATAGTCGTAGCCGAGAATTGAATAGCAGGACTTGGTCACCTGCCCGGAACTCTCGCTTCGTAATTCTTTTGTCATGCCACTTTTTCGTCTTTTCTTTGTAAATCTTGGCATTTTCGTAAGCATCATTTCTGAACTCCTCCATTTCGTTGAGTTGAAGCAATCGACGATCGCCGGTAGCTGTTTGATCGAAATTGAGCTTTTTGACTGCCCAATAAGCTCGATGCTCCAATTCCACTGGCAGGTGGCACGCTTTCCCATACACGAGTTTGTACGGAGACATCCCAATCGGTGTCTTGAATGCGGTTCGATAGGCCCAAAGTGCATCATCGAGCTTCAATGCCCAATCTTTTCGGTTCGTGCTCACGGTCTTCTCCAGAATCTGTTTGATCTCTCGGTTTGACAACTCAGCAAGGCCATTTGTCTGTGGATGATAGGCAAGCGCAATTTTGTGTCGGATTCCCAACTTGTTCGTGAGATTAGTGAGCAGTTTGTTGCAGAAGTGAGATCCTTCATCGCTAATGATCGCCCTAGGTGTCCCAAACCTTGAGAATATGTTCTTGTGGAAGAACTTGAGGACCGTACGAGCATCGTTGGCTGTGGTGGCAATCGCTTCGACCCATTTGGACACGTAGTCCACGGCAAGCAGAATGTATAACTTTCCGTTCGAAGAAGGGAATGGTCCCATGAAGTCTATGCCCCAAACATCGAAAAGCTCCACCTCTTGCATGTTGTTCAAAGGCATTTGGCTTTTGTTGGATAGGTTCCCTGTTCGTTGGCATCGATCACACCGTTTCACGAACTCGTAACTATCTCGGAAAAGGGTTGGCCAAAAGAAGCCTGACTGCAGAACCTTGGCGGCAGTGCGAGATTCCCCGTGATGCCCGCCACAGGGTGAAGAGTGGCAATGTGTGAGAATCTCACGTACTTCTGTTTCCGGAACACATCTTCGGATGACTCGATCGGGGCCGGTTCTGAAAAGCAATGGCTCGTCCCAAAGATAGAAACGACTGTCGTGAAGGAATTTTTTCTTTTGGTGATACGATAGATCGTCAGGAATGATTCCACTGGCCAAGAAGTTGGCCACATCAGCATACCACGGAGTGTGAGTACTAATGGCGAGCAGTTGCTCGTCTGGGAAGGATTCCTGAATATTTCCTTCGGCTGGAACTTCTTCTAGTATGAGTCTGGAAAGATGATCTGCTACCACATTCTCGCTCCCCTTCTTGTCTCTGATTTCCAAGTCGAACTCCTGGAGTAGGAGTACCCATCTGATGAGTCTGGGCTTGGCGTCCTTCTTTGCGAACAAGTATCGAATAGCTGCGTGGTCGGTGTAAATGATCACCTGAGACCCCAAAATATACGGTCTGAACTTGTCAACAGCATAAACGACAGCAAGCATTTCCTTTTCGGTCGTTGAATAGTTCTTCTGTGCCTGGTCAAGTGTACGACTCGAATAGTAGATGGCTTTGAAGATTTTGTCCCTCCTTTGTCCCAATACAGCACCTACAGCATAGTCGCTCGCATCGCACATGATCTCGAATGGTTCCTCCCAATTGGGAGTAATCATAATCGGTGATTGGGTTAGCTTCTCCTTGAGAAACGTGAAAGCCTGCAAACAAGCAGAATCAAAATCAAAGACAGCTTCCTTCTCAAGCAAATGACATAATGGTTTTACTATTTTCGAAAAATCTTTAATGAATCTACGGTAAAACCCAGCATGCCCTAAAAAACTTCTAACTCCCTTGACATCCTTTGGTGGAGGCAATTTTTCAATCGTTTCGATTTTTGCCCTATCCACCTCAAGACCCTTTTTCGAGACCTTGTGACCTAGAACAATACCTTCACGAACCATAAAATGACATTTTTCCCAATTTAAAACAAGGTTCGTTTCTGTACATCGTTTTAAAACAAGTTCTAGATTGTGCACACAATGATCGAAAGACGATCCAAACACAGAAAAATCATCCATAAACACCTCAAGAAACTCTTCTACCATATCGTGAAATATAGACATCATACAACGTTGAAAGGTAGCAGGCGCATTACACAAACCGAAAGGCATCCTACGAAATGCAAAAGTACCGTAGGGGCAAGTAAAAGTAGTTTTCTCTTGGTCTTCCGGGGCGATTGAAATTTGATTGTACCCCGAATAACCATCAAGAAAACAGTAATACTCGAAACCTCCTAGCCTGTCTAGCATTTGATCGATAAAGGGAAGGGGGAAATGGTCTTTTCTAGTGGCTGCATTCAATAATCGGTAATCGAAGCATACACGCCACCCAGTGACTGTTCTAGACGGAATAAGTTCATTTTTGTCATTCACAATAACCGTCATCCCACCCCTTTTTGGCACAACCTGCACCGGACTGACCCACGGACTGTCAGAAATTGCATAAATCATACCAGCGCCTAACAATTTCAAGACTTCTTTTTTGACTACCTCTTTCATTGACGGGTTTAACCGCCTCTGAGGTTGGACTCTTGGTTTATAGACGTCTTCCATTAGAATTTTGTGTTGAACAATAGACGGGCTAATTCCCTTAATATCCTCAATAGACCAACCTATAGCTGACCTATATTCTCTAAGGACCTCCAGCAGTGTGTTTGTTTCGGACTCGCTCAAACTAGAAGAAATAATCACCGGATAAGTCTTGTCTGCTCCAAGAAAAGCATAACAAAGATAATCCGGTAATTGCTTCAATTCCAGTACGGGAGCCGTTTTCACACTAACTGGTATCTCGGGGACGATCCCTACCTCGTCTATACCTAAAATCTCGGCACACTCAAGAAACAACACACAATCAAGCACATCATTTTCAATAGGGGTTTCAGGGGAGGCAGAATGCAAATCAATAGAGTTAACAATGCAGTGCTCAACAGAATCACATAATTCATACAAATCAAAAAAGGAGGAAACACAGTCCTCGATCACATCTATTCTACTGCAATGCTCAACATGCTCAGAGTGTTTAAATGCATCTGTCAAATTAAAAACAACTTCTTCCCCATTTACCCTAAGCATTAAAGATCCTAATTCCATATCAATCATCGCCTTACCAGTGGCTAAGAATGGACGACCTAAAATGATTGGTGCTTCATCATCTTCAGGCATTTCAAGTACCACAAAATCAACAGGCAAAATGAATTTATCTACTTTAACTAGCACATCTTCTACAATCCCATCGGGATATTTCAATGAACGATCAGCTAGCTGTAGAGTCATGCGAGTGCGGTTCAAATTTCCTAAGCCCAGTTTTAGAAACACAGACATAGGCATCAAATTAATACTTGCCCCCAGATCACATAAAGCTTTATCGAAAGTAGAATTGCCAATAATACAAGGAATAGTGTAACTCCCTGGATCTTTCATTTTTGGTGGTAGATTCGACTGAAGAATGGCACTGCAAGTTGCCGTGAGTGTCACTGGTGTGTCTTCTTCGATTCGAATTTTCTTGGATAGGACTTCCCTCATGAACTTGGTGTAGTTTGGCATTACCTCCAAGGCTTCTGCAAAAGGGATGTTGATTCGAATCTGCTTGATCTTTTCAATGAACTTCTTCAATTGATCCTTGAACTTCTTCTTCTTCTGTCTTTCTGGAAAAGGAATGGGAGTTATCATAAGAGGAGGATTATCAGGAAAAGAAATGTTATTGGGCTTACTAGCCTCTTTTGTATTACTCCCTGAGATGGTAATTTCCGGCTCGACCGGGGTCGATTGAACAGCTGGTCTTGGTGACTCGTCTGTTGGATAAGGAGGATCGGTCATTTGCAAACCACTTCGGGTGGTTATGGCTTGACAGCTTTCCTTTGGATTGACTTCGGTATTGCTCGGAAATCCACCCTTGGCCATTGTGGACATGGATTGGGCGATTTGCCCTATTTGCTTTTCCATGTTCTTCATTGTTGATTTCAGGCCCTCCATTTCCTGTTCTTGTCGGTGAAGACGATCGTCATACGTTGTCCCTCGTTGCTCTCTTTGATGGTTGAAATCGAGAGGTGGTTGTAGAGCATTTTTCGGATTGGCATAGGAGAAGTTCTCGTGGTTCCGAATTCCCGGGTGGTAATGAGTAGGGTTTTGGTTCTGATTGTTGGTTCCTCGGAAATTGTTGAATCGGTGGTTCATAAAGTGTGCCTGCTCCCAATCGTCGTTTGTGGCTTGCGAGGTACTTGCTGCTGCTACTCGTTCGGTCTGTGGCCCTCGAACTGAAATTTGGGCGACCTGATTTGATAGGATCGCTAATTGTGCTGAAACTGCGGCTAAAGGATCGAGTTGGTGGACTCCGGCCACCTTTTGTATACCACTCCGTTCGGACGGCCAATGGTAAGCATTTTCACACATTCGCTCGACAATGTCTCGAGCGTCTGTGGGAGTCTTGTTTTGCAATGATCCACCTGAGGCTGCATCGACTAGAGATCGGGCTGGCTGATCGAGCCCATTGTAGAATAACTCCATTTGATCCCACGGGTTGAATCCGTGTTGAGGGCATTGTCGTAATAAGTCTTTGAATCTCTCCCAAGACTCGTGCATCGGCTCTTGGCTCATCTGTCTGAAATTGCCTACATCTCTTCGTAGTTGTGCGGTCTTTGAGGGTGGAAAGAATCGTGCCAGAAAGGCTTGTGATAATTCTTCCCAACAGGTGAGTGATCCTGGATTAAGACTCAGAAGCCAACTCTTCGCTTTGTCTCTGACAGAAAATGAGAATAGCTTCAACCGAATGGCATCATCAGAAACGCCGTTAACTTTGATCGTGTCACAAATTTCCAAAAAATTGGCAAGATGGAGATTCGGATCCGCAGTGGCTGCTCCGGAGAATTGGTTCGCCATGACCATGTTGATTAGCCCCGTCTTCAGCTCGAAGTTATTTGCGGCTATCGTCGGTTTCCTGATTCCCGAATAGTTCTCATTCATAGCTGGAGTTCGGTATTCTCGCATTGTTCGCTCGGGTGGCAGGTTCGGTCTTGGCTGCTCGTGATCTCGTCCTGGCTCTTGATCGTACTCAAAGGCCAGGTGCTCTGGATTTCCTTGATCTTCGGCCATTGGTTCACTTTGTTGGTTGCGCGTGGCCCTTAGTCTACGTAATGTCCTTTCAATCTCGGGATCGTAAGGTATGATTTCCAAATTTCGACGCCTGGGCATAAACAAAGTGAGTGGTTAAGATCAAGGTAAAAATCGAAAATAAAACAAGTAAATGGCTAAAGTAATACTCAGATAATAGGTAACACTATCAGCAAAGATTAAATCAAATTGGTCCCCGGCAACGGCGCCAAAAACTTGATACGCGTTTTCCTCACGTATAAATTACCGCAAGTATACGGTATCGCATTTTGCAGAACAGTGGTTCCGGATATCGATCCACAGGGACCTTGTAGATTCAAATGTTGAGTAGTGTAATTATATTATCGTTATATTATCTAGCCGATCGTAAATAAGTGGATTGGTGAGAAACCCTAATTTAAAAGCATGCAAGAACGTAAACATGCAAATATAAAATGTACGTAAAATAAAGTAACGACAACTCAACGCGGGGGACTTCGATTTAAAAGGGACTTCTAGGGCCAAATCCACCTAGATATAATCAACAACGATCGACAAATCCGCTATCTAAAATCACGTTCCTATTCGTTAACCCAGACGCTAATATACTCTAACCCCCGTCTCCAGTGTAGCTAGAGTCTACCCACAGGTCCGACGTCTCCGTTCAGAACCTGCTATTAAGAGAGCATTTAGGTCAAGTCCTTAAGGGCTACCCGAAGTGCATCACGTCTCCGTTTCCACACCCCGGGCTATGTTTTCCTAACTTCAAACAAGAAATCCTCTCTCGAGTTCATTCCTATTTAATATCAGTCTGAGAGCTGATCAACACAATCAGAAGCATTTAATACAGGAAAACATAAACGAAATCAAAACATGACAAATAGAAAGTAGAAATGACGATCGAAATCAATATATACAAGGCTTCATTACCCTAGAAGAAAATGTTCTTAGTTCATAACAAACATAGTATCAAAAGAATGTACAAAGGAAATGAAGAACAAAACGTAAAGAAATTGCGTAAGAAAAACCCAAGTCGGAACCCCCGTTGATGATTCCCGCGAAGAACCGTCGAAAACCGTAAAAAGTCGAAGTGAATGAAGAGTGAGGGCTTGCTTCTATTTATAGTAAATTGCAAAGCTTCCTCAAGAAGCTTTGCAATTTAAAATATCTGCCCTTGAAAATCGTGCCAGATCGCGATCCAATAAAGTCAGATCGCGATCTGGCTTCTTGAAAAAAAACGTGAACCGCCTTCCAGATCGCGATCCAATAAGTGCGGATCGCGATCTGGCCCCAAAATCCCGATGCTACTGGAATTTGACACCAGATCGCGATCCGACTTTCCTGGATCGCGATCTGGGTCTGAACTTTGCTTGCTACTGGAATTTGCCCCCAGATCGCGATCCGACTTCCCTGGATCGCGATCTGGGTTTTATTGACCACTTTCTCGGCTTGAAAAATCGGTTTCGCTTCCAAATGGCTTCGACTTGGCAACAAAAGCTAACAAAACCTAAAAAAAGAAATAAAACAAGAAACGCAATAATATATACAAATAAAGCCGAAACTCGGACGAACGAAGACCAAAACTCGAAGATTCGATAAGCAAAAATCGTGCAAAACGAACACTTATCATTTACCTTCACACAAATCTCCTATTGGTGTGAAATGGGTGTTCAAAACAAAAACCAATCTTGATGGTTCCATCAACAAATACAATGTGAGGCTTGTGGCAAAAGGATACAAGCAAAAAGGAGAAGACTTCAATGAGGTATTTGCTCCCGTTTCAAGACTTGATACAATTCGTTTAATTATCTCTCTTGCGGCTCAAAATGGTTGGAAGTTGTATGAAATGGATGTCAAATCAATATTCTTGAACGGATTTCTACAAGAAGAAATTTATCTTGAGCAACCTCCCGGATTTATTAAAAAGGGAGAGGAAGAAAAGGTGTACAAACTCAAGAAAGCTCTCTATGGCTTGAAGCAATCACCCCGTTCATGGTATGATCGAATTAATGGTTATTTCATTAAATTTGGTTTTGAACGTTGTCCTTTTGAGCATACTCTTTACAACAAAAGGAATTCTAACGCCGGTTTTATGGTGGTGAGTCTTTATGTTGATGATTTAATCTTCACGGGTGATGATTTTGAGATGTTGGCGGAATTCAAAGCTTCTATGATGAAGGAGTTTGAAATGACTGATCTAGGAGAATTGCATCATTTTCCTGGCATTAATGTGGAACAATTAAAAGGAGGAATTTTAATTTCTCAAGAAAAATATGCAAAAGAAACTTTGAAAAAGTTCAAAATGGAGAACTCGAATCCGGTGTCAACTCCTTGCATTACGGGCTTAAAATTAAGCAAAGAAGGTGAATGAAAATTGGTGAACACAACCATGTTTCGAATCTTAGTTGGAAACTTGATGTATCTTACAGCCACTCGTCCCGATATCATGTTTGGTGTAAGTTTGATTAGCATGTTTATGGGGAGAAGCCATATTCAAATCATTGGAAGACGGCGAAAAAAATTCTTCGATATGTCAAATGAACCATTGATTATGGTATTTTTTATGATAAAGTATTTCTTTTAAATTTCATTGCAGATAGTAATCTTGGTGGAAGCGTGGATGATTCAAAAAGTACTTCCGGTTATGTTTTTAATCTTGGAAGTGGAGCAATTTCTTAGAGTTCGAATAAACAACCAATCGTGGCCCTTTCTACAACCGAGGTGGAGTGCATCGCGGCTTCTTCCGCTGGATGTCAAATATGTGGTTGAGAGGAATTCTCAAAACCTTGAGTTTCAAGCAAGATAGCTCGGCTATTTTTCTCTCGAAAGATCCAGTTCTTCACGGAATAACAAAACACATTCGTCTTCGTTTCCATTTCTTAAGGGAATTTGTTCACGAGGGTGAACTCAATCTTGAGTATTGCAAAAGTGAAGAACAACTTACGGATATTTTCACTAAGCCACATGGAGGTCCCGTTTTCTCGAAAAATCTTGAAGGTTTGGGAGTCAAAAGCTAATTCAATTTACGGGAGGCAATGTTGGATATATGGACTTAATGTGAATTCAATATTGGAATTAGTGGCAATTCAATATTGAAAGAAGCGGGCATTAATGTTGGAACAAGTGGGGGATTGAATGTTATAATAAATGTGTGAATTTGAAGCACCATTGTCTAGATGTATCTAGACAATTGTCTTATGATTTTCCTACGTATTAAATTATAATTAGAAGAGTTGTTAGTCTAAGAGTCATCTTGTAATTTATTAGAATATTAATGTACTTCTCGCTATAAATATGGAGTGCTACAGATGATTGTAAGCAAGACAAAAAAAAAACAGAGAGAGAAAGAAGTAATTTTTCCATCCACAAACAATAGTATTATTACTTTCTCTACTCAAAAAAAATTCAAGTCTTCACAAAATCACTAAAATTCAAATTCGGGATTAATCATTTTATCCCATCCTAGTGCCTACAATTTATCTCCCGCAATTCGCAATTCGGATCTTAGGTGTCTGTAACGGCCTCGTACTCTTGTTAATTAACAATAATAATAATTTGGTCATAGTACGTAGCCAAAACCATTAGAATTTGTATTTAGTTTTTACGCATTGAAAAAATTCGTTCAGTTATTAATAGACCAAGACGGGGAAAGTATAAGAATAAGATAAAGAAAACCAACAATCACATGAACCTTGAGCAATTAAAAAGTGATTAAGAGCCTGTTTGGCTTTGAACGCTAATAAACTTTTATGTTTGATAAGTTGTTTTAACAGTTAATAAGCTGTTAGAGCAACTCAAATGCTAAACATCAAAATTGAATTATCAAATCCTCATTTGATATTTGAGATAATATTTTAAAATATATTTAAAACTCACCAACTCCAATCATAGTTATCAAATTTTATTATCAATCGGAAGTTTTTTGGTGATTTTTTTTGTAATTGCCACGTGTCAATTTGTGAATGGTTGATTAGGTAGTTAATTTTTTGATAACTCATTCTGCAGGAAGTATTTTTAGATACAAAGAGATGAAATATCAAAATACAAACTCATTTTGATAACACCATTGGAGAACATAATTTCTAAATTTTAGGAGTCAAATGGTAGTTAAAAGATTTGATAACTGATGCGATCTCTTGTGTATCATAAATATTTCCTACGAAACGTAAGATCTATTCTTTAATATTTGTCTCTTCATTATAAAAACCCTAGCACAAGACGACTATTTAAAGATATAAAACCCTAGAATCCTAATCTAACTAGGAAACATAATTACCTATACTAATTAAATACTAAATAATCTCCTAACTAATCTCCTAACTCACGGCCATATATATATCTAAATATACTAATCTATAAACTATTAATTAAAATAATACTTCAATAATATATTAAATAATAAAATAATAACTAACGAATAAATATACGATATATTAAATATATATCGTATCAAACCACCCCTCTTGAAATGAACCTTGTCCTCAAGGTTCGAATATTTGCAGCTCTCTCTTTTTTGCGCTTCCATCTATGCTTGATGCCATCCAATTTCTTCAAAAATAATTTGTTCTCATGTAGGATGCTGAGAACACGAATCTCAATCAATTGATCGACTACTTCATCACATGTCTCCACCATCGTTGACTCTTTAACGTATTGTTTGTTATGGTCAAACAATTCATTAAACATCATCGAGGAAATATTTGACACTTTTAGTGATACCTCAATCTTCTCAATAGCAATGTTAGATTTCTTAATCTCCTTGAAAATCGTCAATAATCCTTCGTCTTCTTTGTTTTGAAGATCATTGAAATCTCCCAATATCCATCGTAGCTCTTCGTTCTCCTCCCTTGTTAATTCCTCGTCTTCGTCCCAAATTACCTCAAGTGAATCCGATAATTCTTCTTTCGGCTCGTCGTCCCACTTTATCTCAGTTGATTCCGATTCTTCTTCTTTCGGCTCTTCGTCCCACTTTATCTCAGTGGAATTCGATTCTTCTTCTTCCG